TTAAATAACCCTACACATATTTGGTTGAGGAATATACACATCTTCGTTTACTGACCCGGAATTTAGAAACCTTTTTGTTCAATAAACTCGTCTGGGCACTGATAACGCAAAGTCTTGATAAACAAGGACCACTCTAGATCCCAAGTCCTTGTTTTCTTTCATTTCCAGTACTGATAATACAAGGTAACTGAAATAAGGTCATTTGTAAAGTCCCGAAGACCTTTGCAATAACAGTGTTCCATTGTAATAACATTATTCAATGTGCGAATTAAACCACTGCATTGATCACACTGCACCACAGGGCTAGCCCTACAGAGTCACAGTGGCCGGGCGTGGACGTACCCGACATTTGTACAAACCAATTGTGCGCCAACCAAAAACAGTATGCAAGCACGTTTTACCATGTACATGTGTGCCTCGATTTTTTAGACATACTAGTCGATAGCTCACCCATGTAGTCTTCCTATATGCCTCTGCTGTCATTTTCGCTCTGTGGAGTGATCGGGAGCGCTTGCAGTCTGACAGTAGGTCCGACTGAACACAATATACACAGTGCAAAATGAAAATTTCACCCCTTCCGATTTTGACATTTCTATAAATTCTCAATTTAAGAAAATCATGACTAAAACCGTGGTTTTCAGTCCAAAAATGCTTAAGAGAATAACAACCACTAGTTTTAAGGAAACAGTGTATCCCTCGCTAACAATTTTTCACCAAACCCACACTTCTTTCCAAAGTAAAATCCAATATTCGCCCTCTGCTGTCCACACCACCAATAGCTGGTTTCCTCACATTATGTGCAACAAGCGCAGCTAGCTCACGCCTGCGTGGTTCACGGTATTACACAGGCGCATCAGGTGTACATGTACATGTACGTGCCTGCCGCGGCGCCTGTGCATTACGCAGGCGTATCGCTTGCTGAAATGGTGCCTATGCGATTACAACATTTTACCACTGATCTCTATAATAAATTTATTATTTATCAGTGAATTTTACATATATTCCACAAACATGAATAAACATTGGTTATTTATGTCTATGGTATATTCACAGTGAAGTTCTCCATTTTGCGCCACCACGCGGCGCTTTAATGATCTTTGATGTGGATCCCATCACAGCGTGCGGTCCCGGGTACGTGTCGCTCCGAATCGACATGACTGGTGGAAATTCCGTTTCCTCCGTTCTTACATTTTGTAATTATTCTTTATTACAAGACTTTATTCATTAAACTGCAGGTATCTCACTTTCATACACAAACTTTTTAAAACCAAATTCGTGTAACAGAACGATACTATGTGCCTTTAAACAAAAAGTTATGCATACTTGTATACATGCACGCTACGGTCGATTTGTGATACATACGTCGAGCAGGATGGCAGCTTTCGCGTAAGACGAGGTCCAGATATACAAGCTAAGTTTTTAAGTCCCAAGGCCCTTGTATTAACAAGAGTCGACTACATGGCTGCGCACCAATACAGTGATGAGTTATTGTTCCGCATGACCAGCTTGCTGCGTTTACTTTTCATACATACCCCCGGCGCTTCGTGCAAAGCAAAGGATGGTGGGATAACCCGGAGCATTACGCAGTACTCTGAAGAATATAATATCAAATCAGTACTCTGAAATATGTGATTGCCGAGCTTTCGGTTACTGAGTACCTTCTTCAGGGCAAGCAGATTCAGTTCTGAACGAACGCGGAAAAATCCACGTTCATTCCCCTTGGATACAGCGCTCCAGTTCCTTACGCTGTACATCGGATGACGCTTTCCGCAGAATGCAGACGCTTACGTCACTGAGGGAATGTGGCGGCGCGCAAAAGTGCTGCGTAACAGTGAGACCAGGTGTTCCGCAAAGCGGTCACCAAGGCGACGCTTGGTTTTTCCGATGTACTATTTACCACAGCGACGACATGTAATGCAGTAAGCCACATTACTAGTAATGCATGTACGCAGCCGACGGGCTGTTAACTACGTAGGGGCAGGTGTTACATCTGGGGCGCTGACAAGGGGAATTGCTGCCTGCTTTTGACGTACGGCCGCATGCCACAGCTTCCATTTTCGCCGAACCTCCGATTTGCGCGTTCGTTCTGTCGGAGACATGGTTGTAAGTTCCCGGTTGGATTCCGTCTCGCCGTCAAAAGCAGGCAGCAATTCCCCTTGAAAACCCTGTGTCACTCCATAAATATAAGCACATAACCCGAAGAGGAAAATTTCCATACAGTCTACCATTTCTTTATATTTGAAATACCATTTAACGTTGGCTTTGAAGAAACATGCCCGACAGCAAGGTGAATTCATGAACTCCTCACACCCTGAAAGATTCTCCGCCAAAACCATCACAAGTCAGTTTGTGGATGAAAAATTTGACATTTGTTAGTAATGAAAAGATGCCCTCACGGTAAAAGCTGAGTGACTTCACTCATCAGCAAAAAGGTTTTATTACCAGTGGCGTAACTGGATTCCCTTTCTTCGGGGGGCTATTTGGAGGTCTCTTTTTCTGGAGGGGCGCACGTGAATTCGGTCACTCACCGTCAGTAACCTGGATTTTCTCCTCTAATTTCGGAAACGGGGGCACAGGCCTCGAGGACGGGTGGGGCTCCTACCACCCCCTTCCTTGTTTACGCCACCGGTTAACGCCCATATAGGTACATGTACACTATATGGAATCGACGATCGCACCGTCAAAAGCGCGCTGACTGCAAAGGATTAACACACAGCAAAAAAATTAGGACGGCTGCATGCATGTCTCACTGTATCACCTTTAATGGTCAGATGGCGTTCTGTCCCTTCAGGTAAATTACAAGATAAGACTAAATCGACACTTTAAAATATCACACGTGTAGTCGACTGAGGAAGAATTGTGTTAACACGGCACTTCGATGCGGTATTTTCGCTTTGGAAATTTGAATTTTATGATCAATTTTTTACGTCCTGATTTTTCATTTACAATTCAAATTGCTGATTCGATTTCATGCTATCAGCATTTCCATCGACTGTCATCCGTGAACACTCTACCAGATGAGCAAAGTTTACAAACAAAAAAGCAAACAAACAAACAAACAAACAAACAAACAAGCAAAACAAAAAATATAAACCACCCAAGTTTGAGAAACAATGATAATCAATGCAATCGTTCCCACAATTTATAAAAACTTCCATGGGTTCCTGGCTGTATGACCCCCAATTCAATGTGGAATAAACCTGTCGGTGCTGTCCAATCCCAAGGAGATACATTCACACAATCAATGTAAAACATCATACAATCAATCAAGTTGATGTCTTAATAATTCAGGCTTTCTAGGAAAACGGTCGAACTTTTTTTTTTTTTGGGGGGGGAACATTCCAACCTTTCAATAGAATTGCAAGAGGGATTGCAGAGACCAGATGCATTCAAGGAAGGGGAGAGTAGGGCCTCTCACCAACATCCATGGCATCATCATCTTCTCAACCTATCATTTTCGTTACTATACTTTTCCTATTTTAAACTTTCATTTTAAGTCGGACATGAGTTCCAAATATCTCCTTCTAGTACATCAAATTTTACTGTCGAGCAACAGACGATTAGAAATAATGTATTAATTAATATCTCAAGCTAGTAAACAAAGGCTACCTTTTTGTTGAATCTCCCTTTACAATCGAGAAGGGTAAAATTGAAACGGACAGGATGACACAACACGACGGCACAACGACACAATTCCACGACAGACTGGATACAAATGCAATGAAGACGCGTACTGATCAACGACAGGTATACACAACGGTGTATATGGCCATCTGCCAAGCACAGGTCTACCTGTGAAACATGGAAGGGCTGCGTAGCACCGTGATCTCGACAAGAATATAATATCAAATCAGTGCTCTGAAATATACGATTGCCGAGCTTTCGGTGACTGAGTAACTTATTATACTCTTGTCGATATACAGGTCTACCTGTGTTGGATTATAACTTTGTAAATAGGCAAATGAGCAGACGAAAATGTCATCCTTTCTTGAAATATATCACAATCAATCTTGAATTGTTATGGAGATACTGAGCATCATGCCAACCTTATCAACTGAACTTTCAACCAATCAATAACCTTGGTATTATTCTCCGACTAGTTGGCACACACTTCCCTTAGCAGTTTGCATTATTTGCAACACCGCTGTTTTTTCGTTGTCGGCAAGCTTAGTTGCAGTTCGATCAAAGTCAAACATTAATAACGTTGTAAACTGTTCTATATACATGTATATGCAAATTAAAACTTGGTTTTGCCATTTCTTTAAAATGATTAAACCTGACAAGTTAGCGTTTTCATTCTTCACGCTGTATAACACTGCTGAGGGAAACTCAATCGACGTAATGTGCTACTAAAATGAAATGTCTCAATCTATTTCTTGAATTTCATCTTTTGCGGAAAAAAGACAAGGATTGAACCAAATGATTTGATCAATTGAAATAGTTCAAACAAAACCAGAATGAGGTTTTGATGTCATTCAAACAGCTGGGAAATCAGTCGGTTCAACGAGTATTTCATTAACAGCAACACCTGTGGGTTGAGTCACAGCATACAAGACTGCTCTTCCTATGTCGTCTGGAGACAGGTACTTGTCCAACTCGAGGTTCAAATACTTGTCTATTGCCTAAAGAAAAAGAATAAAATAATGTCGGTTTTCCTGTACATTTCCAAACTTTATTTGTGGAAATTCATAAACGGTTAACTTCAAATTCGTCTCAACAGTTCACGGCCTTTCATATCCCATGCATTATTTTCATCTTTGGTCGCTTTTTTGGTGCACTAGGTTCAAACTATTTCACACATTTACAACACTATTTTGTGAACGATAATTCAATTTCGTCAACTGCCAAACGTTCCATAAATGACACAACTTTGTCATTTTGCGATCAATATTATATAAATTTCATTCCAAACGGTCACATGATGAATTATATCAGCAGAATTTTATGTTGTCATCTGTTCATTTCTGCTTTAAACAAAATTCAGGTTTGTGTGTCTGTTTAATATTTTCTTGTGTCAACAAACCTACACTGTAACTTTAAAGAAGCAAAATTACATCTCTTCCATATCTGTTTAAACATTTCGCAAGTCATAAACTGGAAGAAATGTTTTTATTTCATGCACGACGTACATAAGTAGGCCTATTTCTGAAAAATAAAATGTATTCATATTTCCATATCTCCAACAGTCAATTCAGTTCTTGCCCTTTGGCTTGGTTGGTCAACATTCCATTTCTTGTTTTTGCAATATACCGGGCGTCTGTATGGTTGTACACAATCAAGTGAATGTGATCGACACATTGTTGAATTCGATCGAACAAAGACTAATCCAATCCTTACATTACATAAATATTAAGAAAAAGTAAAAATGAAACTAAAACGAGGACACTTGTTCCTGTTTGAATGACCAATGATGAAACAACAAAAATTCACTCTGAGTGCACTTGTTTTGTATTTATTACAATTTGACTTGAATAAAGAAAGTAAAATGAATTAAAATGTTTATTAATTTATGAGCAAGTTAACCCAACAAACGTACTTCTTGATCAATCATCTTCCCTTCATTGAATCCTGTCGAGACATCGCCAGGTTGAACGTTAGTTACTCTGATGCCGGTTCCAACAAGTTCTTTCCTTAATGATGATGTCATTCCTTCAACAAAGTACTTGGTTCCAGCATAAACAGCCAAGCCTGGGAAAGACTGAAATCATCCATCACTTAGGGTAGAGTTTTTAGTATACCCAACAATCAGAAAAGTGACATAAAACAAATGTTGCAGTAAATCTCCCTTCACAAGTGACAATGGAATTAATTTAAAACAATGTTTAAGAAAAGTTTTTAAGTAACTTCTTACAGCTCTGCCTGCGTCAGACGAGATATTCACGATGTGACCTCTGCCCCTTGCTATCATTCCAGAGAGAACGGCACCAATACCATTCAAAACTCCCTGCAATTGACGATATATGCAATAAATGACCATAAAAACTGCTACATATACCTGTCAATAAAAGCTGCAGAAAGATCAAAAACATTTTCTGAAGTCGCCAAAGATATGCTCCTAATCAAAGTATCACCTTGCAGTTAACATCCACAGTTTGATCCCACTCGTCTTCGTGCAAATTCTTCATTAATGTGTAGTAGCCGATTCCAGCATTGTTAATGAGAATATCCACCGGGCCAAGCTCGCCTTCAGTCTTTGCAATTAATTCTTTCACCTGTCAACAAAATGATCTCCCATGAGTAAAAACCAGAATCTCTGCCCTGTGAACACAAGTTCAAATAAATGATGTGTTTCCATCCATACGCCGAGTACACAATCAATTATTGATTAGAACCGAT